TAAATTGTGCAATATCTTCTGAGCATTTTCACCTTTCACAAGAATTTATCACAGAATTTTTTGTGGGCTGATAGGGTTGAATCTATAGGTGTGCATTGTGTTTCTTTTCAATTGTTGCATATGATTCAAGCAAATAAAAATGTTTTTATTTATATCTTAAACAAAGAACTGACCCAAAGAAAAAAAATCTTAAAGAACTTTTGTAGGTCTTTAACCGAACATGTACAAATACATGTTTCAATAAGAGAAAGAGAGAGGAGAAGAGTGCTTAATATTGTGGGGGGGGAGTGTGTGTGTTTGTGTAGTAAATGTGAAATAATAACACCCTTCATCCACTCTATTCAAATTGGGAGGACTGAGGAAAATGAAAGAAAGAAATTTGCAAGCCTATGTGAAATTGTTTTTGGACCAATGAAAACCTTGCCTTCACAGAAATTAAGTGGTCAATTCAGAAGAAAAGAATGTAACAAGCCTACACAAAATTCTTTTTGATATAAAAATGAGGAGAAAAATTAAATTAATCAGAGAAGAGTGCCTGAAGTCATGTGAAAGGTTTCATTTCAGTTCATCGTAACCAGTACTGAAGTACTTGCCAGTGTAAAATTATTCATCAATTATATTATTGGCCTCTAATCAAGCATGCAGCACTTCAAAGAATTTTCTCTCCACAATCCAAGAAAGCTAAGTATTTCAAACTCTCTGTTTTCATCTACTTTTGAACATATGCAAACAATATATCCATTTAGTGAGCAATGATATCTCTTACCTTTGTTTTAAACATTTTTGAATATTATTTTGTGTCAGATCTGTTTTATGAACATTTCCTTTTCATGAGAATACGTTAAAACCACAGACTTTAAGAATTCTGATTTATTTTTCTGAAATGAGCTACTGACAAATTCAAGCATGTAATTTGGTAAATAAATTCTTTATCTTGTTTTGCTAAAATTACCCATGTGTTTCCTCATCATGATCATCCTTCATTAATCTTCTTGGCAGGGATAAATCAAGTGTTTATTTTAAACCTTAATCCACATGCTACCATAAGTTTTCATAGATTAAGTGTTTTCATATGAATCAATAATGCATAGTGTCAGTTTTATGCCTCAGTGCAATCTTCAGATGAAGATTACATTGAAGTGTAAAACTGACAGTCACTATACAGTGTTGAGTCTTATATCTGCCCATACTCTCTCTCTCATATATTAAATAATGCTCCCATCAACCCTGTATTCTTGGTGGACTGGAAGATTCCAGTTGTGGGGTGTGTGTGTGTGTGGGGTAGACAAATACGGAAATTCATTCAGTTGTGAAGCTTCAGTTTCAATATCGTCATTCTGCTTATAGTCAGCTAAGTGGATATTTTGAAAGAAAAATTCTTGGGAAAATATTCATTACTGAATTTTTATCCCCATTTTACATATTTAAGATTTTTACATTTGGAAAATGATTCCTGCTAAAAATATGTATCTCAATTGAAATAATAAAATAAATTTGACAAATATTGTCTAAAAGTCTGATATTCTGCAATTAGTACCAATATCCTCATAATTCTTATTTGTATAACAATATTTTGACCAATGTGTTTTTCAACTTTCCTCAAGTATATGTTGCATTCAGTAATCTTTGTATGTGCCATCTTTTTTTTATGTGCATGCTATATATATGAGAGTGGTGGACAATGATTAAAAACAAATTTAAACTGAAAAATTTTAAATTCAACATTTCTGCTCGGTACATAATTATAACTGATACTTGTATTTATAACTGACCCTTCCACTACTAACCATATATAATTCTGTCAATAAGAAAATTACTTCAGTCCAATGAAGTCTTAAGAAAGGACAAAAATCTACATTTTCAACTCTATCCAGATAAGTTTGATTATTTTTTAAGGTCAGGCCAATTTTGTAAGATTGTAATATCTTCATTAGTTAGAAACTGCATTTCTTACATAAGGTAATACATCGTGTTAGAATATTTCACCATTTGCAATATCTGAGAAGTGGGCACTTTAACAATGTTTCATTGATTTTTATCAATTTTCTTGTAGACCCCAGACTGCAAAAAAATCTTCTGTTTTTGTTGTGTATTTTTTTTATTGTTCCTTGTATTAATTTGTTTTTTTGAACATACTCTTTTGTATTAGAATTCATTTCTATTTTGCTGTCATTAGCATCTACCACTTTTGCATAGTTTACATTACCAGATGTTCTTTTGCTCAGTGTTTTCATTTTATTCAATGTTTTTTGGTTGATATTTTTTGCTGTAATGCATCCATTTAGGTTACTTTTATATGGCATCCATCTTACTGTACGAACTGACACTTCAGTATTAATGCAGTGTTTGTTCATTACTTGATGACTTGTTAATTTTGGGTTGGATACTGATAAACTCACTAGCTATCTTTGATCTCTTGTCTAATTTCAAAGATCTACTCATCTTTTTCATATTCAAAATGCTCCCAACATTAGCATGTGTTGTCTAGTTGACTTGGACAACATTTCTTAATATTCCAACCTCCTTAATGATTTAAATGTTGACTCATTCTTTGTGACATTTTGATAATTTTCATCCTTTTCTCCAAACTCACTTTTACTGTTTTGAAACTTAAATCAACTATACAAAAAGACAGTTTGAAATCTCATGACTTTATGTAACCTGTGTTTGATCATTTAACTTGAGGAATTTGCAATTTATCAAGTGGCTTATAATTTTGCATACCTTATTCAGTATAATGATGTGTTCATGTGAATATGACCACTTTCATTACAATCCTGAATGACTACAGATATGACCCCTTAATGTACATTGTTGAATACTTACTGTTTGTAAAGAGGCAGGTGAAAACAGGGATGATGGGAGAACCCATAAGTAGGTCAAATTTTTGTTGATAAAAACTATGAATGCGAAAAAAATGTTGAACTGTACAAAGTCAACAAATTTTTATGACTGTTGATTGGTAGGCGTGATGTATTAATAGAGTTTTAATTCAATTGTAACTATGTAGAGAGACTAATCACATTTCAATAAAGTGTTGTGTCTGTAATTACTAGCAATCAGAGTTATTACTGCCATGGATTGCTACAGATGTGTTTTGTCTCATTATTCACTTTTATTTACAGTTATTATGCAGGTCATGACATTAACATGATACATAACACTAGCAAAATGTTTTATTTTTAATGTTTTATCACTGAAGTTAAGCAGTGCCAAGCTCAGTCAGTACTTAGATGGGAACTGTTTAGGAACAACACCAAGTACTGTAAGCATACCAACAGTCTGAAATGTGTTTCAGCTTTAAATAACCCACAAATTGTTGATAAATCATAAAAGAACAAATCATACAAACCAACATTTTTACCATTCTATAATAGTTTGTACAAATAACAATTAAGCCTGTCTATGGGTTCTCCAATCATATATTATTGTAGCTTTGATACTCAGATCTGTGAAATGTAATTAAGATGGTGGCATGACTTAAATGTGTGTGTGTTTGTATATTGGTGGATACTTAAGAATTATACATAATACAACATACATCAAAACATTGTGATTAAAACAAAATGAAGATATGAGTATGAATAATAATCCATTAAATAAAGTAATTGTGGAAAAAATAATTTATTAATTAAATAAAATTTGTTTACAAATGTCAGGAAATAGTCTTGAAAGATTTGCTAGTAAATATTAGAGAGAAAGAACTTTGAAGAAACAAGAATTCAGTTGTGGAAGTAGAAATGAGAGAAGAATGAACAATTTTTTCTTTACATTTATTAATACTTGTTAATTGCTTTTTCTTTTGGCAATACAGATTAACCCGGATATAAGAGAGTTGTCAGAACCGGAGAAGAAGTCTCTTATATCCGGGTTTGGTCTGTTTTGTTTACATTAACACAGGCTCTAATTTGGGACCAGAGAAAATCTCTCTTAATATCCGGGTTACACTGTATCTCAATAATAATTATTAATATGGTGGTTTGTAATAGACAAATTAAAGAATTTAAATGTTAGGGTTCATCTAAAAAAGTAACAGTAATTTTTATAAAGAAGGAAATAGGCTAACGTGAAGTTGAGTTGCTTCAATGTGACTTAAAAGAAAAATAAGACAAAAGAAAGAAATGGGAAGAATAAAAAATACAAAGATTCAATATCATAATCAGAAATCAGCTCAAATATGATGAAACAGAAGTGATTAATGATTTAAATATGAAATGGATATTTGCCTGTTTCTGCTAATTATACAGATGTGACATTTAATTAATCCATAGGTTTCCTGCATTATTTCTTTATAATTTTTAATAAATTAAAAAAAGAAAGAAAAGAAATGTGATTCTTCCTTAGCCTTGATGTTCCCTATCTATTACAAGCCAGCATTTAGCTGTGACCCCATAGAACCTATTTTATAGTGGCAGGGGATATCTGCAGGTATATATATATGTAAATAAGTAAATGTTATATTAACAATACTTATAAGCATATCAATCACATTTCATTTATCTAGAAAACATTAAATAAAAGGAATTTTTATATTTTCTTTAGCTTTAGAAGCTTTTTCTATTTTATTATTTAGTAATTGTTTAACAATATGAGTTTATGATGTTAAAAAATTAGTATTTGAAAATGGTTCTATAAATAAAATACCATTAAAAATATTTAGAACCAATATTAAATGAAATAAAGTGCAAAGTTTTAAATGCAAAATATTCAGGTCAATGGAAATTTTACAGAAAAACAAGATATTCTTTTCAAAATGGAAACTACTGAAATGAATTTAGTAAATATGGGGTAGCATTTAAAATTGTTTGCTTAAAGTGATAAAAATAATTTATTTTTGACTGGATAAAATAATCATTAAATCTCTATAAAAAGAATACTTTTAATAAAATTAATGAAATAAACACAAACTTTTATAATTGTAGTAAGGCATTTATAAGAGAATTATTAAAATAATCCAATTATAAACATTCCATCACAAGAATAAATGAAGGAATGGTTACCTGAAAAGTTGTGATAAATGCCCACAGAAGGGAATCAAAATTAGCTCTAGCACAGTGGCACCTAGGTTGCCAAACACTTGTCCGATTTTGAAGTGAAGTTTGGGTAGAAGTAGTAGTTGTAGTGGTGGTGGTGGTGGTGATGTTGATGGTAGTTGTGTGGCAATTGGAGTCACTGTTCTGTTGATGAGGTTCACAAAATTTGCCGCCAAAGAAGCACATGCCTAAAACACTGCATGCAGGGGAAATAAACAAAGTGACACAATTGACATACTACATGATAGAATATTGGAGGCATAGATAACTGTAGATTTCAAGGAGCCGGTGGAAGACAACAGTTGCTGAGAGAGGAACAGTAGATGAGGAAAGGATCATTCTCCTGGTGAATGGTCAACATGATAAATTGTTGAAGTGGCTGCTGCAAGCTGGGAAATTAAAAACTTGGGCACTATGATTTAGCTACACAAGGAATTAACACTTCAACCTTTACACTGATGATCTAAGATATAAAACTGTAAATGTGTATTTATTTATATACACATGTAGATAGATATTATTTAATATAAAATTTACATGTATAAACAAAAATCTTTGCAAAAATGCATTCACTCATAAAACAGAGTACATTTCAAAACTTATAAAAGATTTTTAGGTTGTTTTTTTTTATTTCAGGTTATTCCAAATTTGTATTATGATGGAAAATCATATTTTCATGTGATTTGAATCAATTTACAAAGTTGAAACTGACTTTGAGCATTCTGGGATTACACCACCTTGTCTACCAGGAGATTTCACTTAATACCTGACCATAAGCAGCTTAAAAGGAAAGGACAGCCCCTCTTTCTCTCTTTTGCTCTCTCAACCCCAAGATGTAGCAGGGTTCCAGGGAAACAATCCCTTGGGTGATGACTTTAATGGCAACCAAACGATGTACACACACATTTTCTAGTAACTAATAATAAATATTTTCCTTTTCTTCTGAGTTTGTTTTTTATCTGGACACATAAATTAATTTTATTAAAAGTATTTTTTCTTATTAAAAGTATACCTTTCTTTCCATGTACAGTGTCCTTTCAGGACATAGGTGATCATGGCTCTCCACTTCTACCACCCCTAATGGCTATCAATAAGTTTTGTCCCTCTGCCATCTCCCCAGACCACATTCTGCTATCCACTAGGTATGTCATGCATTGCTTTCCCTTGTCTCTTTTTCCCTCTATTTGACCTGTGAGTATCAGATTCTCCAGGCCCTCCTTTCTCATTACATGTCCCAGAAATTTCATCTGCTTCTTCCTTATGTTAAGTATAAGCTTCCTCCTTGTTTGCATCCTCTCTAAGACCTCATCGTTGCTCACATGCTCACTCCATAATATCCTTAATATCCTTCTGTAGAACCACATCTCCATTACCTCGAGTCTCTGCTACATCTTTGAGGAGACTGTCCAACATTCACTGCCGTATAAGAGGACAGATATCATGTAACAGCTCATACTCTTTTCTTTGTTACCAAAGAAATCCTCCTGTCTTGCAATACTCTGCTCAGCTTTTGGAATGTATCCTTGGCCATCCCAATCCATCCAGATCTCAGTGTCACACCTACCATCAAAACACTTCCTAGATATTTAAACTTCTGCACATGCTTGATTTTGGTGTCCCTGACCTGCAAATCGTCAATGATGAATCCTGGTAAGATCTCCAATTCTCTCAGAATTGCCTCGCTGTATAGGTTGAATAAGTCCGGTGAGAAAACACATAGGCTTCTTTCTATTTTTGTATATTCACTGAACGCATTCTCACTGTGCATACATGCCATTTGCTGTCTTGATTATTCTAATATCTTTCCCGAATATTTCAAGGTTGCTGAGCAGTTCCAGCAGATCCTTGTGGCATACTTTGTCGAACACCTTTGCATAATCTATAAAACCTAGATACACGTCCTTCTGCATTTTTATTGCTCTTTCTGATAACATTCTGTGCATGAATATTGTTTTTTTTGTTCCAGTGTCTTTAACAAAGCTACACTGTTCTTGTCTCATCTCTGGCCCAATTCTGCTGTGCGCTCTATTTATCGGAATATGGATGATGAGTTTTATGTGGCTCATTAGGCTGATTGTACGTTTGCATTCATTTGTGCCTGGTTTCTTAGGTAGTGCTTTGAAAATAGGTCTGCTGAGATCTTCCAGTATGTCCCCACTATTGTAGATTTCATTTAATATTTCTGTGATCTTGCTTATGCCAAATTCATCTAAGGCTGTCAGCATTTTCATTATGATTCCATCTGGCCCTGCTGCCTTGTTTCTGTTTAATTTGGCTAGTGAAGCTTCTACTTTGGTTTTTAGAATTTTAGGTCTGTCGGTAGTTCTGTGTATTGCTGGTTGTTCTCTTTTGTTATGGAAGAGTTTGCAATTATACTCACTCCAGTGTTGAAGAATTTTATTCTTGTCTAATATGAGTGTTCTATCCTTTGATTTTAAGCAGCCTGTTGATGAGCATGTCTTCTGTCCTCTTCTGGAATTATGTTGTTCAATGTGTGTGTGTGTGTGTGTGTATATATATATATATATATATATATATATATATATATATATATATATATATATGTGTGTGTGTGTGTGTGTGTGTGTGTGTCGAATTCATTTATTTTTGAAAAGATTGCATGTCAGTATATATTGTAGGTGGATGTGCGTTCACATGTAAAGAATTAAAGAAGAACCATACAAAAGCTTAGGTTTCTATTATGGGAAACTTATTCTTGTTTTTATATAAGCTGTAGAGAAACTAAGTTCTTAATGTCTCTTGGGTATGTCTGTTTTCTCTTTCTGGTTCAGGAATTAGAGTAAGTAAGGATAAATATCATTATAATGGTTAAGCTTGAGTCAGCCTTGTGCTGATTTGGAACAGCCAAAGAAAAGGTTGGTTTACTTCACAGTGGAAGTTTAGGAAGATGTGTGAATGCTATTCATTGGAAACTGGAAAGAGAGTTCACTCGTCAGTAGACCAGGGAAATGAATGTGATTCAGCAGGGATGTCCTCTTTTATGTACTGCTACATCTTGGAGCAAAAGGGAGACAAAAAGGTTTCTTTTTTTATAGACAGTACCACCTAATGGGAATTTGGCAAAGTCAAGTGGGGTAATAAAATTTCTGGTTCCTTTATTAATAACATCAAGGAAAAATCTATTTCTTTTTTTTTTTATTATTATTTTATTTATTGATTTTATTTCATTTCCCCACAACTTCTTCCTATTACAAGTGGTGTACTCCTTCCAATACATTTTTTCATATAAGTTTAATGATAAAGTATATGTATTGGAACAATTATATCCTTACTCTACACCATAACTGAAGAATATATTTTTTGGTAACACCTCACAATCAAATTTAAGGGAAGAGTTAGAATGTTGAACTCATAATATATATATATATATATATATAAATATATATGGATGTTTACATATATCTGTAAAGATAATATATAAATTAAAGACAAAAGGAAAACATTTCTTTACCAACATGTTTCATCCACTGAGTGGGAAGAAATATGTTGGTAAAGAAAAGTTTTCCTTTTATCTTTCATATATATATATATATATATATATTGTGTGTTAATAACAAAAAAAGAAAAAGCTAACACCCAATAACATTAACTAGGAACACGGCCACAATGTGTTGATGAATTAAATTCCAAACAGATAATTATGCATTTTATTTAACATCTTCAATCAGTCATCATTATCCAAATCAACAGTGTAAAGGTTCATATGTTTTTATAGACACGGCACAATAAAATGGAAAAGAAAATATATGTATATTGTGTTCTTTGTGTTATGAACTGAAAATCTAAAACAAATATTACTAAGAACTCTAATTAGTGAAAGAAAAACCTCCTGAAATATAGTGGTACCAGTTTAAATGAAAATCAACATCAGCAGCAACAATTTTCTCAACTAAATCTGTCATGCATTCTCAAAATTTGGAAAAAGTCACATTGAGGGCAAATAAACATGCATTGCTGCTACAGATTTAAGACTATTGATTGTTGTTTCACACAAAATAAAATCTAATCTGTATTATTTGTATAAATCATCTGATGCCAATGTAAAGAAAATTAAAATTTAGAGTATTTTTTGGTTTTTAAACATCATATGTAGTTAATTAAAATAGCTGGAGTGAGTGTCCAGTTTTGTTATTGTTAATAACTTAGTATCCTTTTATAGAATATGTTTTGTATCTTGAATTATTTTCCCCAAATGTTGTTAAAACCTAGTCATCATTTTATCATTGCTGAATGTTTCTTTAATTCAGCTATTGAAATTATTACATATTTAGAAACATCGAAGCTTTTATCTACCATTTAATCAATGTTTCAAGTTTTATAAGCAGTAAATCTTTTTATTCAGTTTTCTATTACCGTTCACACACATTATATATATATATATATATATATATATAACATAGAGGTAAATGTTTACTTATCTTGGCTTTACTCTGGGTTTCACATAAAATACAATCCACTCTTCAGGAGATTGGATTTAAAATGTTTTTTTGCAAAATATAATCTATATATATATATATAAGTAGGTGCTGAAAGTATCTTGACTTAGCCATTTCACAAAAATATTACTAAACATCAGAATTTGAATGAATTTCTTCTTTTTTGAGCCAAGAAAAATTCAATACCTCTATAGCTTTATTGTTATTATAAACATTGAATATAGTAATATAGTTTTTATAGTAATAAGAAATAAAGTTAGATTAAAAAAATCCATTGATTTGGCATTAAAATCCTATATCAACCTTGAGTGGGTATAAATACATTAAATTATTATATTGCAAGCATAGCTTAAAATAGAAATGGTTTAATGTTTTTCAAAGTTACTTCTTGCTTTGATAATGAATGCACTATGAAAAAATTACAAAAATCTGTACACTGAGGTAGATTTTAAAAACAATAAATGGTTGCTAATACAATTATTATTTTGTAAAGATTTCAATTTAAACTACAGTTGTGTCAGGTCCTATTTTTAAAATTATTATGCAATTTATTGATATAAATCTGATTTTGTTGAATTTGAAATGTAAGTAAGCAAAATTTCAGTCAAATTTGATTCATTTATGATTAAAAAAGACAATTTTCTTTGGTTATACCATTTGAAGTTCATGTCTAACCAATAAATATAATCTGGAAGAATAGAACTGGTAATAAAATTATTTTATTAGACTATTTTAATCAAGTACAGAGACTAATTGCTAAAGGAAAAATAAGAAAGGATAAAAAATAATTCTAAAGAAAAAAAATGATAAAATACAAATGATTGAATTGTGCATGGTTAAATTAGGAAATAAAAGATGATAGATTCAAGTTAATGACCAAGTTCATGATCATTGAATTTAAATGAAGATAAAAATATCTATTTAGGAAATTAAAAGTACTGAGCATCTTTTTTGTTATTATCAATATACAACAATAATTCTGCCAAATGATGAAAGAAAAAAAAAAGAATTTAAGTGAAAGATTTATTTTTCAACATAATCTCATTCTTTATTAATATGTGATCCAAAGGTTGTTCATAAATCATAAGATTGAACATTATACTGTGAAAGTTTCAGATTGTTTGGCTATTTCATTTTAGTACATGAGAGAAATATATAGTTACTGCTTTTTTCAATGCAAACTAGTGTATGTCACTTGTCCCTATTAATAGCTGTTGTTTACAGTTGGATTTCAGAATTAAATCTATTCAATTATGTTAATTATTACTTTTTAATTATCTTAATTACGTATTTCTTATTTTACATCATTATTAAATGATTATTATAATTTTTTACATGGAAATTTAAAAAAAAAATTTTTGAATTGAAATGGATAGCGATACAAACTTGTAGAGAATTTAGAATGATTTTTAATCACTCTAAAATCAAATTTTCTATCATTATGGAGGAGAGCTGCATGACAGTTTTAAAGTAGTTGTAGTTTCTGTTATAAAGGCTCTAAAATTGAAAGCAAAAATAAAATAATGGTAAATAATATTCTTGTTTAAGCAATGGACAGCATTTCAAGAAAAGAAAATAAGTGGTTTTCAATTTGGGATTTGAATATCATCTACATCTAAGGCAAACTAGTTGCAAGCTGCTTTCTAGGCAGCAACTCTAGTAGACTAGCATGCAGTAGTATTATTAGTTAATAATGATGTCAGCAGCTACTGTAGGCAACAAAAAGAGCACACTAGTTAGTTATAGTGAGTACACAAAGTAAACAGTATTGTCATGCAGGGTTGAAATACAATACCTGAAATACAGTAAGGATTGACCACAGTAATGAATCAAAATTCTTTCGACTACAGTTGCGATGAACATAAGAATATGTCTGGGGAGTTACTATCCTTTGCTGGCCACAAAATTTACACCCAAATAAGTTCATTCCAAGGATGCTGAAGCAGAATGTAAATTGGGATTGATTTTCAATCAAAGACAAAGAATGTAAAACTTTTGGAAAGAATAAAAACAGTCTTTAGTAATAAGAAAACTGGTTCCAGGTGAAAAGATATAAAAATTTGTTTAAAGTGAAAAGATATGTTTTCTTTTTTTTTTTTTTTTACTCTGATGGATTGTAAATAAATTAGATAATAAATATTAAGCACTAAAACTTGCCAAAAATAATATTTTTGAAATCAATGAACAGTGAATTCTTGTCATTTCATTATAAACTTTTTTATCTGAAGATTTTTTCAATTTCATAATGTTAAGTTTCTTCAGAAAAATATTAAATATGTTCCATTGTATTAAATCCATTAATTTTAGAGATAATACAGAACATTTTTTTATATATGTTACATAGTTTAGAAAGAATTTAAAAATTATATTTCAAATATTATTCCGTTTTCAATGAAGGTTAAGACTAATGAATTTTGAACTTGTCTTTATTATTTAACATTAATGACATAATTCTAAGTGAGATTTCCAGACAATGTTGTATTTTTAAAAAAATTACATTGTCTGGAAGAGTCATCTTAGAATTTAATTTTTTTTCCTTTTAAAAGTATGTCATACCTATTGCAGATAATTTTAGATCCATTAATTAAAAGAATAAAGAAATTGAAACAGGATTGAATTGAATAATAAACACAACAAATTAGAATGATTATTTTGTTACTTATGTGAATATAAAAAACAATCTTAGTTGGCAATAATATAAGTGACAGATGGTTATAAAAAGGCATTGTCAATTATTTATGGCTAATTTCTTTAAATAATGCACTATTTGTATCATGTAGAAATAACTGTAAGTAAAATGATGCATCCACTAAAATAAGTAACAAAGTAATCATTGTAAATTCTCTGAATATTGGTGCCAATAATAAATAAGACATTTGAGCAATAGTAATAATTAATAATAAATATAAATATCATTAAAAATCTACACTGAATATTAATAAGCAATATTTAATTTACACATAATTTCAATGCTTAAGGATATGACAATTTTATGAAGTCATAATTCAGATATTAAAAACATTTTCTAATAATTATTATAAAGCCATAGTTATATTCCATATGGGAAATTGTACTTTTTAATTTCCACAAATGCTAAAAAGGTTCCATCAGAGTAAAATGTATTAAGAGCATTGTCAGAGAATGAATTCATTGCAGGCATCAATTCAACAAAATAGGAAATATTAATACAAAATATCATCATTTTTCCAATACAAAAGATAACAACAATCTATGTTAATACACCATGAATTTTGTGATTTAAATTTGGATGATAATCCAACAGAATGATAAATATATAAGACAGTTTGGAAAACTTTAAACAGAATCACTAAAAAAAAATGGGATTTTTTTCAACCAAATGACAGAGTTTACATTAATCATATGGACAATTTTTTTTCTTTTTCATAAATGTCTCATTTTTTAGGTTAAATTTGATACATCAAGTCAGTTTTTATTTATATAGTCATTCATTTTAAAAATTTTTGTATCCCACACTGCTTTAACACCAATTTAGTAAGAACATGTTATGAGCTGAAGAAACCCAATCATATATTAATTGCATAGATCATGGCACTTTCAATGCATCTTCGTCTCAGTGAATTATCTTCCTTTTCTTTAAATAAAACAGCATTTTCCAGGTTAAAATTAAGAATTTTGTTAGAAAAATTAAGAATGGTTGTTGAAGTAAGCATGAAACTATTGCAAAAGAAGAATTTCTTGGAAATACCAGGTGAAACCTCAATCATGGTTTACATCAGCATGCTCAACTGCTATAGCATGTAGGAACCACTATACCAGCATGATGGCTCTCATCACAACAGGCACCTATTTGCAATAAATGTAAGCGAGTCCTTGAAGTCCCTGTTTGCTAAGAGAATGAGACCAAGCATAGCCTCTAACAACTTTGGCTCTCACAGTTACTGGCAGCTCTGTAATAGGGCATTAAATAAGTGTAAAGTCTATTATTCGTCTCTTCAATCAATAAAGCTGAATGCTTTGTCCATAAATTCTCCTCAAACTCATCCAGAATATCCCTGCCTAACTTCCCTCCTAGAAGTGAGTCTTTTCCATGGTTTATCATCTCTAACCTAGATTCTCACAAAGCATGTGAACCTGATGGTATCCCTGTAATAGTCATTAAGAAGTGTGCTCCTGAACTGGCTCCTGTTCTATCTAAACTATATAATAAATGTCTCACTACCTCCTGCTTTCTAGAAGTCATCATCTGTTTTTAAGAACTTTGGTAAGCTGTCTGACCCTTCCAACTATCAGCCTTTTACTTCTTTTTGGGAAACTCCGAGAGGTCCTAATTAATGCTGAATCGGTTCATCATCTCTCATCGCAGGGCCTTTTCTAAGACAAGCAATATAGCTTTCATTTCTCCAGGTCTGCAGATGTATTGATGATATTTGTGGAAAAAATTATCATGCTCTTGATAAAAATGTTGAAGCCTGGGTTGTTGCCTTGGATATCTTGAAAGCCTTTGACAGGGTTTGGCATTCATGTCTTCTCCATAAGTTAAAAAGTTACGGTGTCTCTGGACATGTTTTTGAACTGATCCAGTCTTTCCTATCAAATTGTGAAATGAGATTTTATCCTAAATGGCCACTCATCTAAATCCTTTCATACTAACACAGGTGTCCCCCAGGGCTGCAACATTGGTCCTACTCTATTTTAATTTTCATTAATGACTTCAACTCTCAACTTGGTATCTACGCTGATGATGCAACAATTTGCTTCTGCCTCGATAAGTAAGGCTTATCAGTCTGACAAGGTCAAAATGGCAGCCATGGTCTAAAATGATCTCAAGTCTGTAGTTAACTGGGACAAAAGATGGCTTGTTAATTTTAACACCTGAAAAACTAAACTTCTCTCCATTAGTCATCTGAGTTTTCACATGCTGCCTTCCATCAGCATGGCTGAGTCTATCCTCCAGGAAAGTGACTCATTGCACCTTCTTGGGCTCATATTCACTGCTGATATGAAGTGGAATGACTATATTGAATCCATTGCTAGGTCAGCTGCTAAGAAAGTCAGTTCACTATGTTGGGCAAGACAATTTTTCTCTCCAGAATCTATCATACATAACTATAAGTTTATCATTTGTCCATACTTGGAATATTGTTGCCACATATGGTTCCATGCCCCTACTATTTACTTTGAACTCCTTGATAGGATCCAAAGAAGAATCTGCAATATTATAGGTCCTGATGTGGTGGCTCAGCTCCAGTCACTCTCCCACCACTGGAAAGGTGCCTCTGTATGTCTTTTCTATAAATACTTTCATGGTAATTGTTTGAATGAGCTTTTTGCTATGGTACCTAGCGTTTCTGAACTTAAGCGTAGCACTAGACAGGTGTTGAGATCTCATCAGTTTACAGTTGCTAAGATGTAGCTGTAAATTCTATGCTAACAGTTTCTTCTCTCACACTTCTCACTTTGGGACTTCCTTCCAGCACTATGGTTTCCAGCCAACTTTAATTTAAAGTTTAGTTTAAATGCAATGTCAATTGCTATCTACTGTACACCTGATTACTATCTTCTCTTTTGGCTCATCATTAATGTTTCTGTTCCTAATTCTTCTACATCCTGTAACCCCTTGTGCTTTAGTGGCATTAGTGTCTTTCTTGAGGTGATTCTGATTTTAAAAAAATTCTCTCTTACAAAAAGTTGTTGATTATTGTGTTCACAATTCCTTTTTTATTGTTAGATTTCTTAATCATTGTATGTGATTGGTTCAAACTATTTTCCTCATCTTTTTCTTTTTATATGTATTTTGTTCTTGTGTGTGCCATTTTTGCCTTCTACAAATATCTGTTCAGGGATGTAGATTAAAAGATGGGGGGAAAGAGAGCACACTAACACTTATGGAACAAAGTAAAAATTAACACTTGAGAATAAAAAGATTGAAAGAATCTGTGCTTAGATAACTTGATCAGCAGACTAATCATAGGTATTAATATCCTGTGGGAACCATTAATCAAGAAAAAACAATTTATGACTTTTATGATTCCATAAGCATGGCTTGAAATAAAGGGAGCACATGCAAAATTCAATGTGATGTCATGTATACAGTACAGAGGTTAGAAGAGATTTCCAAGAATATACAGGCACCAGGCATGGTATCTACGAATAGAGGTGTATGTTCTTTAAGATTAGATTTGAAAATTGTAACTACAACAAACACAAAGGAAGGCTAGTGAGTACACAGAGGACTGAATGTTGAAGGAAAAAAAAAAAATAGTCCAAACCAACCAAGCAATGACAATTTCTTTTACTTTCAATCATTTTATTACTTTTATGAACCCAAATAATTTGATTAGAATTTTTTCATCATTACAGTTCAAGAAAGAACTTTTGCTAGAATTTATTAATTCTCAAACAGCCACAAAAGAGATAAATCTTAATTATGAAGATAAATATAGAAAGGCTGCTATTTCTTAAGTTGTCAAAATAATTTAACAAAAGTTTATTTGTCCTCATTATCTAAAGGTTCGTACACATTGTAATATGTAAAATGTTTTATGAAATATAATTTAAATCAGAATGTATTTTTACAAATTTTAATATTTACAAATGATAAAATTAGTATTAATTTTGCTTCAACAGTAAAACCTTCAACCTTTTAACATCTGATAAATATTTAATTGCTGACAAAAACATACACATATATACTTTTATTCATAAATGTAGCATTTTATTCTTCAAATTCAGGCATTATCAACATATCTTCCTTTACATTTCTTTTGCATTATAACTAATTTTTAAAAAGAAGATTTCTAAAGATGAGAAAGCAGTTGAGCAATTATGAAAAAATAAAATTTTGATTAAGGTATTTTGCATAAAAAAATGTTACAATGACACATCCAAATGGGACAGAAATAAGAATGGAAATGATCATATGACTAATGTGCAATAATTATATTCATCTTTAAAT